TGAAATGAGCTAATTTTGCTTCTTTTGAGACAACTTTCTTACTGTTTTCTAAAGCAATTTTCTAGTTAAAAATTTTTAAGATGATTTTTTTTTACTAAAAAACTGTTCTATAAAACAGTAAGAAAGATGCCCCAAATAAAATCTTACTGCTAAGCAAAGCCTAGTAAAGATTAGACAATCATTAACAAAGATTCCATATATGATTTTTGTCCATATAAATTTTGTGAACACCAAGGATATAGTTGACTCCACATCTTAAGTTAATTTTTGTCGTCTTATATAAGATGTGAACTTCGGCTTCATTTGGAACAGTTTTTTATAATTATTTTTTTGTTACTTTCAAAAAATTATTGCACGGGAAAACTACTGTAAAAAATAGTAAATAAATTGTCACAAACGAAGCCTATGAAAAGAAGGGATTTCATCATATTACAATAGAATATTTTTTTATTATTATTATGAGAGAAACTCCAATAATTATTCTCATAAAAATTATAATCATGCATTTATGTTTCATTTGGGATGGCTTTTGACCACTGTTCCGCTCTTATTTTCAAAAAAAAAAGTATAAAAAATTGCTTAAAAAAAGTATGAAAATTGTCTTATACTAAATCTTAAGGAAATAAGAGTGAATTCAATTACCATTACAATTTGACTTGAAATATGTAAATGAACCATATGGTTTCCTCCCATCATTTGGTGGTACAGTAGAGACATAATGCACATGAATCATATGATATGTTCCTATCTGTTGGGAGCACCGAAAAGACACTGCACATGAATCATATGTACTTTCTTCTAACAATTTGGAATAAAAAATGGCAAATTATTGCATCCGGTGACCAGATGCGTAGAATAGGTTCATACATCCAATAAAAATATACCATGTCACCTACGCTTTGACTGCGTTTTACCTGCGCTTTTGACTGCGCTTTGACTGCGCTTTACCTGCTCTTTACGTGTGTTTTACCTGCGCTTTTGACGCGCTTAATTTAAAATAATATTTTATTAATATCCGGACCTATCTCCGCGTCCGGTGACCGGATGCAATAATTTGCCCTACAACAGACATGCAAACAATGACCAAAATAAAAAAGTTTTCAACTAGCAAAATTGTTACAGTAGTTTATGCATTGACCAAAAAACTACTTAAAATCTTTTGACGTAACATAAAGCAAAACAAGAAGATTTATGCATTAAAATAATTTAGGTAGTGTCATGATCTAGCCCATATACTCGAATTAACGAGCCGGAAATAAACGGTCAAATGGTGATTAAATTTTCATTTGCTAAAACTATCACCATTAAACTGAAATAACTACTAAAACCTTCAAAACATTTAAAATAAAATTGATATAAATATATTTCTCAAGCATCTCGCCTACGATATACATTCTCTTATCTTCTACTCATTTTAAGTTAATCAAATAATACTTATGAATGTTATTAGAAACAAACGTGAGTTATAAAGAACTTGGTGAGTAAATAATGTTTCTAAATTATAGTAGCACAATGCCTTTGAAACAATATGCAAATTCATTCCAAACATAAAGTTATTCCATTTAAATTCATTTTAAACATGATCATCAATGTTATACATATATCATATATTTATCATTTTTCGTAAATAATACAACCGTCATATGAGCCACTGTCTAAAATAATATCAATGAATGTACTCTTTTTTCATTTATTTTTTCTTTATAATAACCTTATTCTATTTATGTGCACGGGTATATTGCGTCCTCAGTTAGTATCATAAAAAAGTGTATCCATCAGTCAATCATGCAAATGCAATCAAATCTTATCTAGTGGTTTTTCTTGTGGCATTAGGACTATTGATATTGGAGGGAATCTTTTTTAAATTATGCTCTTGTACATCTTTATTGTTTTCAGTTCTATTGGATATTGCTTATTTTGGTTCTTTGAGGTTGTTTTTTGCAGTTTATTATTTTTTATGCAGGTTAACTGCATTGTTGTTTAGAAGATGGATGCTTTGGATTGGTCTGTGCTAGGGTGGTTGTTTTTTGCTAGTGCTCATTTGTCTTTCTTTTTATTTGTTATAATTGTATCTTAGATAGGGACTCATTGCTCATTAGGTTTATATTTGTTTTATATTATAGCTCTTTTGAGCATTTAGTGAGCGATTTGTCTCTTTTAAGGACTTTTGTAACAAAATTTTTATATTAACGCGTAAGCCCCTATAGTGGGTTTTAACAAAAAAAAAAAAAAAAAAGGGTTTTAAAAAAAAAAAAAAAAAAACCATATTTTATCTAGTCATTATTCATTTAGCATTCATTAACTTTTATGATAATTTGAAACAAAACATATTAATTTCATTTGACTCAACATGACCAATCATTAGATATGGGAGGCAAATCATGGTTTAGCTTGCAATAAAAACTTAATAAATATGTATTACTATCTTTTAATGCCTTTAATTTAAGAGAGAAAAAAATCATTCTATTCACCTTGAACTTAGGTGTTGTGCTACTTTACTCTTATTATTACACATTTCTTTTGATAAATTTAACACCTATACAAAAGATATTATTATTTAATTTACGGATTGCTTGCAAATCCTCAAAATTTAATTTCTTTAAATTTTATTAAAATATACTCTTATTTTTCTTTCTATCCAAATTATCCTTAGCTCATAAATTCATTGTTCACCTAAATCTAATTTATAATTTAACATAATATAAACTTAATTTATTCCTTACCTAGTTTAAAATCTCATATATGAATTTAATTATGATCTCTTTACATGTATATACATATACTTAAAATATATACATATATATTATAATTAACAGAAAAAAATTTCAACTAACTTACTTCCAAAGTAAATTTTAGATTAAACTTCCTTAATAACATTTATTATTTTCATGCTTAAGAAATTCATAAATCAATAATTTAATAAATAATAATCAGGCATTAAACAAGATCTTAAGTTTATTTTAAAATTGAATCAACATTAGCTAAACATATAATCTAAAAAAAATACTTTACCTTTCTTCACAATTGCTATCAATCTCAAGAGATAACTATGTTCCGCTCTGTCCACTCCGTCCAGTATTGTTAAATGAGTGAATTCGAGAGAGAAGGGGCAAGGAGGACTGTTTTTCACTCCCGTACGAGTTTTCTCGCTCCATTGCACTATTTGATTCCACCAGGTCCTCCCGCACCTACGTGCAGCCCGCTTGACTTGTTTGCTCCCCCGTTGTTTTGCTTCGTCCATTTTAGTTAGGGCCAGTACAATTGAACCGATCCAACCGATTCTTCCAGGTAGTGACACTAATCACATGGACTATCACCCCTCAATGGCATGAGGCCACAGTGGTCATGCCTACTTGATTAGGCAAGACAAATAGAGAGTTGATATTGGCGAAGTTAACAAGAAACTTGAATAGATTTTGGAGAAATTTAAGAACTCTATTACAAGTAAAAAAGAGATCGATTATGGCATGGTTAGAAAGTCCAATACAACCATGAACTGAAAATCAATCTTGGTGAAGTTAGTAGCTCCGCTATGACTTCACCCTAGGTGAGTTAACACAGAAATATGAAGGGGAAAGTGTGCTCCAGAATTCTGCTAAACACTTAATTATGTTTTTATCTTTCAATTACAATCAATCATGTTTATAGCAAATCTCAGCTCCAACCTTAGCATTGGATACAACCAATCTTCTTCTTCTTTTTTGCTCTTGTCATATTTAACGCCTGCCAAACAACAAGATCTCTTTTAATGCTTCACTGTCTTCATTTCTTGCAGTTGTTTCTTCTACCAAGGATATTGCACACCCGTTGGGAAAATAAAAGGCTATGTGTCCAAAGTCAAGGCACTAGAAAAACGGAGAGATTATTCTGTGCGGTGTACGAACGCATCCGGAGGTCTATCCGGACACATCACATCACTCAATACACTGTGTATTAGATGATGTGGCATGCCTAAATTGACCTCCAGACGCGTCCGGACACCGCACAAAATAATTTTTCCTAGAAATGCTTCCATATTGAGAGTTGGAAGGAGAGTTGTTCAGGCTGTCATGGTTGGAATTTGGTTCCTCGGAGCTGGACACTAGCTTCATTAACCTAATGTAGCATCCTTATCAAGGCAATCATCTCTGTGGGTACCGTGTGAGGTGTTAAATCTAGAGTACTTTGTTGTCATTTGCTGACTTGATTATATAAGACAATGTCCAACACTCCCGTATAATTGGACACAAGTGTCCAAGGAACTTAGCATATGCGCTTTCTTTTTTATTGCTTTCTAAAACTGTTTTCTAATATAATCTTTTTTTTTTAAATAAATTTTTTACTAGAAAACTGCTTTAAAAAATAGTAAAAAAAATTGTTTCAAACGAAGCCTTACTTTGATTGCGGCATTTGTAGGAGGTTTCTTTGTATTTGAATACTTTTTTTGATGATATACATCCATTCAACAAAATCATCATGGTTGAGCCGTCTCTCGAAATCTAAGATGTCCCTACACATCAAAGTCTTAGCATTATCTCCTTAGTTCGTAGTGATGATGTAACATCTCGTCTTCCTACTCATCATGAATAATTCAATGGCAGCGCCTCTTAAGTGGAGCCCAATCAATTGCAGGCCAAGAGGTTTCTGGGGTGGGTATCTCTTCTAGGTCAGTCGAGGATTAATCATGCCGTCAAACGCTCTTTAAGGGGGTGACAGCGGATGGATACACCGTTCCCAAAATAATAATAATAATAATAATTCAATGGTACATATTTTCCTACCTCCATTGGCCCACTTCAAATTTAGATGTGTACCACATGCCATCCCTACTCGTAGACCTTAGGATGCTGTTGAAGTCATTGGATCTCACGTTGTATTTCCTCAATGTTAAGTTCTTGCATAGGGTGTTGATGACTCTTCCAACATGTATCACCAATCTTGGGTTCTAACACTAAGTTGGCAAAAGAGAGAACCAACGCACAAAACAAATATGTGATCATGAAATGCGAATTGAATAAATATGATTTTCACAAAGGAATTTCTTATCAGATTTCTGTCCAATAAAAGACGAGCGTCGGCTCTTCCAATCAATTGAGCATTTTAATTTCGCAGAAAAATATTTACAATATATGACAGAGCATTATATTTGCAAGAAGATCAGCATAAAATTTTCAACAATAACAAATAACTATAGGCCTGGAAATATACCTAACCATGGCTTCTGGGATCTGTAACCTGATACACCTTTCTCGATTCAGCACTGGAGTATTGCCCGACCATCCGGGCATGTGGAACTGATGGCTCCCCTTTTGCAAGAGCCTCAACATTCTCAAGCAAATATTTCTTTGGAAGCCTGCCTACAATGTTGCCCTCCTCGTTCCCATTTCTATCCAGGAAGGCAAAATGGGGGATTCCCTCCACACCAAATTCATCAAGCTCTTGCTCCCACTTCGTGTTGTCAACATTCAACAAAACAAAGTTGACACGGTCCCTGAGAGATTATGATAGTACTCTGTTAGCATAAAAGGAAATTATACAGGTTCTGAACAGACATGGAGACTTGGCATAGATTTATTATTCTGTGCCGAGTCCGGAGGGCGTCCGGAGACCAATAAAAATGCATCACGTCGCCCAAAAAATGTACCGCGCTCAGTACCGCTGAGCGCTTAACCGGACGGGAGAACCGTCCAGTATCCGCACTGAATAATAGCTCCTTGGCATAGAATCCTCCGATAGTATCCAGCTATTTATTGATGAAAACTTAATATAATAAACTGCATAAATAACAAGTCAAGAGAATTACTTGTACTGGTTTTCAACTTTGTAGATATCTGGTGCTAGTTCCCGGCATACTTCACACCAGTCTGCATAAAACTCAACAACAGTAGGCTTCCCATTTAAAAGAGCCTGCAAAAAAGAAGCGAAATGTGTAAGTAGCAAACCAAACCTTAAGAAGCCAATCAGACTATATTTGTACGGATACTTTAGAGGAAAAAAAAGCAAATAAAATCTCAGACAAACTAGAAAATTTAAGCATATATCTATAATGTAAGTAGCATAGGAACAAACAAAAACTATTTCCAAGGTTATTCCAATGGTTCTAACGCCAATACTAACCACATCTGCAAATCATTTACAACGTGACACCCCCATTTATCAAGAAAAAAGAGAATACGTGAATAACATTTATTGACAATTTGTTAGAATGTAAATACTTGGAAGTGGTTTGATAAAAGTTAAGTGTGTTTCATTGGAGTGTAAAATATTTTTCTTTAATTTGAATGAACTCATATCTTCATAACTGAGTTCTAAAGTTAATTTGGACTACATTAAGTTTCATCTTTAAACATCGCCTAGTTAACATTAATAGTATTAATATTATTATGAACAAAAGTAATAATCTATCCAACTTCATTTAATTTGAATATTATTATATAACTATTTTATGCAGAAAATGCAAATTAAGCTAACTTCCAAAATAAGAATTAAGCTTTATTCACTTTCTGCCAAGCAAACACTAAAATTGTGTCCAAAACTCTGTTCCAATTACTTCAAAATACTTATATTGAAATAAATTAGCCCTTATAATAGATGACGAGCATGTACAGAGAGACATGTAAAATGTATCTAACAAACAAAACAAATCATAGCTTTTCATCAATTACTAAAAAGTGATGTAGTTCTAAGAACTTTTTGCCTTGTTATCAAACTTGTCAATGGTGAATATTATATTATGGTGCAAAGAATTTCTTGGAATCATAATATGTAGAGTGGTGCGCACCATTTTTCAAATAGCACAAATCATAAGAAAACCATGAATAATTATATAATAAACGAAGTATGAAAACAATGAATGTAATATAAATATAACATAAGGATGCTTTAACATACATGAAAACTAATAAAAGACAGCTGCATTCAAATAAAATATAAGTTTTAAGAGGTTATGCAACATAAGAAATAATTTTTGTACAAATATTATATCCATCATAAATTATAATAACTATCTGAGAATAACAAAATCAACATTATCATAAACCAAAATAGTACTACCTCTTCCATAATCTCCAAAATCATAAATTTCTTCATCACCATCATCATTTTCAAATTCACCTGCAATTGTACTAACTCTAAATGAAGATTCATTTTCTTTCCTTTAGAATTGTCTCAAATATCATAGTTTCTAAGCGCCACCACTAGCTTTCATAATGATGCTTCATGTCAACTTTCCTTCACCAAACGCTAATCTATTCTCTTCATTTGACTCTTCATCCAACATACTTCTTAAACACTCACTAGCATCATTTATATCATTCAAAAACCAATCAAAAGTGTAGGTTATATGTGTATGCACTATAGCACATGATGCATGAATAGTGTGCATAGTGCAAGAGGTGGACGTCACTATGCTATGGAGTATAACAAGCTATTTTATGCTATTGACCAAAAAATGCATTTAATGATTTCTACATATTAAGGCTATGGATAATTAGTTTAGTAAAGAATGACATAATTAAAAATCATGAAAAAAAAATGCAGCCTTTAAACCCCTAATCAACCAAAACAATTATAAAAGTGAGGGGGTTGGGTTTCAACTATTGGCATATGTTCCTACATAAGATCACGTGTTTATGACCCTTATATCTCCTATGCTCCTCAATGGAAGAAGGGGAAAGAAGGGAGAGAGATTTCCTATGATAACAAAACTTGCACGTTAAAAATGAGTCATATTTTAGCTTAAACCAAACCATGTTCTTTCTTGATTAAAAGTGATAAAACATCACCAACTCCAGTACCAAATAGAATCAAATTCGGATATCAAGGATGATGTTATTTTTATATATTCATGAACTTCAGTTATATTTTCCTGCGTTTTGCTTTATTATTTTGCATGTTTCTTTGGTTTGGAAGAGAAAAGTGTACCCATGCAAGATGGCCATGCGAAGTCACTATTTATGTGCATTAAATGCTTGCCATGCGTGATTCAGCCAAGCATGGCAAAACCATCCCATACAAGCTGGGGTCAGCTATGGAAGATGTGGAATAAAGACAGAAAATTCTTAAAGATGAAGAAATCAGCTTGTGACTCTTCAAATGCGAAGGTTCATGTGCATGCAAGAATCAACTGACCATGGAATACATGCATTCAAGAAAGTACATCCACTTAGGAGTTGAATTCATGTATTTATGTATGTGCTTGGCAACCTCCATTATGTTGTAACCCTTCATATTCCACTAGGTTCATGCATTGGAATAGTTATACATAGGTATAAATTATGGGTTGTAATCATCGTATTATGGAAATACAATTGAGCGCTTTTACTTCCTTGAATTATGCTTGGTAGCAAAATTCGTCCATATCAATCAGTGACGTAAGGTTTATGCCTTTTCTTTGGTAAAAAATAGGTAGTTATCTTATTACCTGTTTTTGTGTTCTTTTTCTCTCTCTCTCCAAACCCAACTACACTACAATCCCCCCGCTTTGTCAGTTGGATCAGAGAAACCCTAGGATTAGCAAGCTTCTTCCAACAACATTTGCTTTTGGAAGGTATGCTTCATAAAATTGTGGTAACATATCTATTATCTTAATTATTATTCTCTTTAATTTCTTTCTTATTTAAGATTAGGACTTGCTTTGTATGTTATATTCAATTCACAAAAAACATTGTATGAAATCAAAGTAATGATCTCCACCTTCACAAAATCACATCCATTTTCAAAAGCTGACCATTATCTGTGTTGAGCGAGGAGAATGTTCCACCTTAAAAGTGTAATTCATTGTCAGACCTCAAGATCTAAATTGAAAGAATTACATCTTTTATCAACTAATCACAAATCAGAGCTACTAATAATCCATATAACAATAAAGTAGTGAAAATATCATTTCATTTCATATTATAAGCAAATGTATATTTATATTTCTATTCTAAAAATCATATACAATTGCCCAAAATCCTATCACATCGGTCTACACAATTTTCTGGCAACAAAAAAAAATGAACAACAAAATAAAATACCTATCACTACAACAATCCCGTAGGCCTCACTCCACTGGGTCCTTACTCTTCCCTAAAAAATATGTAAACCACATAATAAGCTAGCAGCACAGTATGTTACCTGAACCTACAATTGCAATCAATGCACGAAAGTAAAAACAATATGCATATAATCATCCATCATATCAGTATGAACATAAATAGTAATGACATGTGACAGTCAATATGAACAATATTGATTTGTATGAATAGTAGAAATTAAAGCAATCAATGTAGCTCAATAACCAATAACCAACAAACAAATAAAAAATCAGTACATTTTGTCATTTTTATGCTCATGTAAATTACAACACAGTAGGCGAAATCATGAATATACGCATGATTATATACTATAGCCTTGTTCTATCTTTATGTAATGTCATATATATCAATATGTCTATCATATAATAGCAAGTGTTCTATATATATTATATATAAATGTTGTATAATATCAATGTATGTGTATTATGTTCAAGTATGACAAATATAAATGCAACATATAGTGTACATCGTGTGTTATTGTATTGATTTTATTAATCTTATCATGTACTTGTATCAGTCACGTTTTGTATCATGTTCAAATCATATTATATCATTTATATAATTATCATGGCATGCTATATTCTATCAATTTATATGCAATTCTATCATATATGCATGTTGTATTTTAAGGCATGACATCTATCTCATGTGATATTTTTTATATATCGAATCCTGTAGATCAACCCTATATGAATCATTCTCAATCATATCAATCTTGTAAATAGGAATAAGTCATATCATTCTCAATCATAAGTCAGGCGGCTTTCATGTAAGAAGTCATTACTTCATGTCCGTCAGAGTATTGTAACAATAAATCTCCTTATGTCTCATTTTTCATATCTTTTAGGATCACGTCATAAACCTTATTTAAAGAAAAGCTCATCGTCACACCTTCCTTCATAGGATAATGTCTACAACCAACCTAAATAAGTCAACCGTTCCTAGCCAGTCTTTCATGCTTTCACACACATGACAAATCATATAAATCACATAATAACAATCATCATGTATACATCCAATACAATTATCATAACATGTAAATTCACCCAGTGTGCTTATCAAAATGTATTAGTATGCCAAAATGCATGTCAACTCAATAACAGTACCTTTATGCATGTCATGTATTTTATGCTTACTTTATGCATGTTGAATCAATAACAAGGACATATATTCTTACTAAGAATAAGATATGAGTACTTTCCTATAGAAATAGTTCAGAAGCTAATTGCTAGAAAAGGTGGATTATATGAGATTGTTAAGAAGATAAACGTTAACACATATGAACTTGATCTCCTGATGGATGGTGAACTTTTCTCAATATTTACTGTGGCAGCCTTGACGTTATACCATAAAAATATTTTCAATTTTTATTATTGATGCTTATGCTTGTAATTTGCAGTTGACATGCAGGTAGTGCCTATGGATGCATCTTCATCACAAATGTTGCTATTATTAAGTTAATGATCAAGATCTCATGTGAGATGGAGATCCCATGAGAAAATTACTTGATGTAGAGATATTAACTCTCCTAAGAACTATAAATGACTCAAAGCAGTCACAACCTTTTCTCACGTGCTCCTTGCGCACTTAAGCTAACATCGACAGTGCCTAATTCTTTGAAGCTGGGCCTTTGAGTTCTATTATATTTTGGGCCGATATGTGTTAGGTCATGTATTGTGCTATGGGTTATGTTGGGCATCTATGTTTTTTGGATTTAGTGTTAGATATGGAAATGGTGATATTTATAAAAATGATGATAGGTATGAAAATAGTGATAGATAAAAGCTAGGTGGTAGGTTTGTAGTTGGAGTTAGGTCTATATCTTTTAGTATCTCACTCGATTATTCTTAAAAATGTAGAGTCTCTCACAATGTTAAACACTTGATTATTAAATGCAAAATTATTTCGGAAGATTTCTACTCTACTATGTTCTCTTCCACCTTTGAAGACAAACTTTCAAGGAAGATCAAAAACTAAGATAAAAGACTGCTAGTGGAACTTATCTACATTATATTGATTATATTAATGTTTAGTCTAGTTTCCACTATAAGAATTCATTTTCATTATATTTTCTCTGTTTTTTCTTTTTCTTTGTAATATGATCTTGTCTCATTTGTCACTCTTGATCTTATATAAATATGTCAAAAATATAACCTGTTAAACATGAGATCTCTCGTATAATCAAACTAGGGGTGCAAACGAGTCAAGTCGAACTCGAACCAGAGGGTGTTCGAGTTGAGCTCGAGCTCGAATCGTCCCATTATAAACGAGTTTGAGCCACTCGTCAAACTCCGACACAATCCATTTCGCTTCTGGTTCACCGAGTTCGAGGCTTTGAGCCTAATGCGGCCTTTTAAAACGAGAGAGAGAGAGAGAGAGAGAGAGAGAGAGAGAGAGAGAGAGAGAGAGACGAATGAATGAATATTATGCATTTATTGTTCAGCTGTCTAAAACACTTTACAATGTACATCATCATTTCTTGGCTTTGGAGCACTCACCGACCATCGCTGTCTATCAGAGAGAGAGAGAGAGAGGGGGGGGAGGGAACTTTGAAATACGTGGGATTTGAGAAATAACAAAAAAATTGAGTTTAATGGGTTCAAATCCTGATTTACATAACATTTTGTTTTTTTTAATATTTATATTTAATAATTATTCTAGCCGGCTAGTGACCTCACGAGCCGAGCTGGCTCAAGCTCGAACTCGAGCTCGACTCGTGAGCTCGATAAGCTCGACTTGCGAGCCTATAAACGAGTCGAGCTCGAGCCAGCTCGGCTCACTTGCACCCCTAGCACCGGCGAATACGTGATTTCGATAGTTAAAAACACAAAAGAATGATAATTTTATATGAATAAAAAGTGAAAATATCATTTATTTCAAAACTCATAAAAAATCATCTCCACTTGTCCATCAAATAGAATGCATTCTTGTTTCGTAAAACTATTATTTATTTCTTGACAATGCATTTTCTTGAGATGATTTTTTTCATGAATTTAATTTTACGTTTACCAAGGACACCTACAGGTTTTGATACCATTTTTGTGGCTGCAAATTATTTTTCTAAAATGGCATATTTTTTAATCCCATAACAAAATAAATGATGCTTCTCATATTTAAAAACAATTTTAGAAAGAGAGAGTAAGACTTCATGGCTAGCCATCCAAAATAATTTCCAATAGAGATATTAGCTTTATTTCTTATTTTTAGAAAACTGTGGATGGTCATGAGAAATCAAAGCAATTTTTTTTTTTTTTTCATCTCTTGGAAATGGCTAGATTGAGGTTGTAAATAAAATATTGAGAAATCTTTTAAGATGTTCAGTAGGAAAACATTTAGACGCCTGAGACTTGAATATATCAACATCTTAATTTGCATATAATTTCAATGTCCAAAATACCAAAAAGTGTACTTTTGAAATTTTTAATTGACATGCCCTAAAAAATCGCATTTACCTTGCACAAATGTCATCTCATGTATGTTTTCGAAAGTTCATTTTTGGAAGAAAATTTTCTAGTTTTCATAAAGAAAATAGAAAACAATTTGAAGAAAGTAATGCTAAGTATACTAAAAAAGTAAATACTAAAAAATCCATAAGAAAATCTAATGAGTACGTGTATTCATACACATTCTGCATAAGATATCACTCCACTAAATTTAAAAAGCTTCATGCAAGAGCATCTGAACCTTTAAAATTTATTAGAAAATTGGACCAATTATATATTTTATGACTTAACGTATAATAATGAAGATTCATTGCCTCATAAAGGGCATTCACAAAATAGAGTTCTAGATGGAGACTAACCCTTTTTTCATTGTCAACCAAAAGCCAAGTGGATCATGTTATTTAAAATGTTTATACAGACAATAATTATCAAGACAAATTTCTTATCGGATGAAATAACTCCCACCGCAGAAATGTGGCTTACTGCTGACGAACTAATGTTTGGACTTCAACTTTTTAAAGAAGAATTCTTTGGAGGTCCAAGTGAGTTAACGTAGCACCCTTAACTCCAAGATTACATAGACCTATTACTATATCTTATAGACTAGTTTCAATTAAGAAGGCTGGCATTATTTTTATGTATTCATTAACTTTATATTTTCATGAATTTTTATTACCTTTGCATTTTTCATTGTTATTTTGCAATTTTCTTTTGTTTGGAAGATAAATGGGTAAATTCATGCAAGATTGCTATGCAAATCGACCATCTTCTTGCATTAAATGCTTGTCATGTATTGCCAGCCAAACGTAATAAAATCATCCCATGCAAGGTGGGGCTGGCCATGGAAGATGTAAAATTAAGGGGCAATATTCTTGAAGACAGGACACATGCATGAAACAACTTGTAACTCTTCAAATTAATTAGTAGAGTTAACTGCATTAACTAATGATTGTGGTAGTAAACAAGCTAGATTAATAACTCTTAAGTAATTAAAATAATGATTAAGGCAAAAATGATAATTAGTTCGACAAAATAAAGACGGAGAAGACTGCGCAATAAAAAAAATATGTAAACCAAAATGTGCAAAGTGAAAGGATGATCTAACCTCTTCGTATGGTACTGCAGCAGACGATAGATCTTTCAAAGAAATACCAAACTCAAGCCTAGATGATAAAAAGAGTCCGAATGCAGCAACCGTAGAAGTCAGAGCAATCCGTCTGTTGATGCTTTTATTTGGAAGTGCTGGAAACAATTCACTTTGGGAAATGTTGGCACCATTATCTTCGCCAAAATTGGCCACCACAACAGACTCAAGCTGGTAGAATCAATAAACCAGAAAATCATATGGACAGTGGTGCAAGCCATGAAGCTCCGATAATTTTGCACCGGCACATAAAAATAATATGGTTATCTGTTGCAGTGGAAGAATTGCAAGAATCTTTGAAGAAATTGGAGGAAAAGAGAAGAGGGAGAAAACAAGGAAGAAGCAAGCACATACCTTAAGAACATGCTAAACATTAATTTCACTCCAACAATCATAATATGACTTACAATACCTTTATTTATAACTAGTTTAATCGTACATGCACCAACTGCACACCGCAAATACATTAAAAACTAATGAGAACATGTTTAAAACACAAAACAAACTATAAAAATTCAACAAAAAAAAAAAACATAGAAGAAAAGTTCAATAACTCTCAATCTGACGTTTACAAATATTTATTTTAACCTATAATCACATTAAAATTATTTGTGTGTGTATATAGCATGTGTGTTTGTGTGTGTGAGCCCCTAAAATTTTGTGCCCCAACTATTTCACATAATTGGGAAGAGTTTAATGGATTAAGTTACGGTCAAATTTTCAGAAGGCAGATTAGGTTGGTAAAATTATTACCCAAAGATTTAACCCACATTTCGTGAGGGCTTTAAGATCTAAATTCAGGTTTCGCATAGATGCAAGCCCCTATGGTTAATTACCCATCCGATGACCGGAGAGCATTTTCAATTAAGGCTAGTTGTTAAATTGGTACTGACTACCAAGCGTATAGTAGCAACAATTTTGGTATTTAATTTAAAATTTAGCACCTTGCATTTAAAGTGAATAATGAGGAAAATGACGATGAATCTGATCGAAATCCCATGATCCATTATCTGAGTTATCAGGGGCCTTATTATACTTAGTCAGATGATGTTAACCCAACCTAACAGAAAATCTTTATTGACGGCCATATATTGCTTTATCCAAGGATACCTTATAGACTTGAGGAGAACGCTTGACTAAGAAACAAATTCAAGTCAACCTGAGTTGTTTTATGCCCTATTAAGCATACCTTATGATTCATTTCTCAAGTATGTTAACTATCAGAAAACATACGAGCTATGGATGTAACAGTAATATAATGATGCTTATCCGCATCAAAATCGTACGATCAAAAAGCCTCAATCATAACTTTTTACTTGTTGAGCTATTTTAGGCCAACACACATGTTAGAGTACACATGTCATGTCGTTATTAGCATGAGATTATTTGAGAATGAATCTTCAAATTGTAGCGAAAAGTTGATGATTTTTTTTTAATGATAAAGTTCATTTTAGGTATTTAGATTTTGATAAATATTGAATTTTAAAATTTATTGAAATTTGAATCCCGAATGATTAACTTTAAAGCTTAGGAGCATTTTTTAAAATTAAGTTATCCCCTATTATTAGGATTTCCTGTCAACACGGCCATCATCAAGGTGACGTTAAGGTTGCTTTAAATATATTTGTTTTTATCAAGATTTAGAAGTATTTAAAAAAGATAAGAGTACTCTTCAGTTAAGATTCACTTTCAACATGATCATAATCGAGGATATATTGAAGTCACTTTAAATGTATTTATCATTTATAAAAAATTGGAGACATTTAAGAAAGGTAAAGTCCCCTTCTGTTGATATACAGTTCAACACAATCATCATCAGGGATGCAAATAATTTTATTCTATTATTTGAAACATATCAATTTTGTATCCCCGCTAATAGAGGATTGGATTCAATATTAGCATTGTAAATTATTATATGAAGTTGAATTCGAGAGTTTATATTTTTTAAAGAATTTTTCTTGAAGAGAGCTTTGAAGGCTTAATGTGAACTTAAAATCAAATATATCGATAGTTTTTATGATCGTATATTCACCCATTAATTTTTAAGTCTTATTAACTTTAGTTCTTTTAAAGAGGATGATTGGACTTTGAAATCTACATTTATATTTAACCCGCGTAACATTCTAGGATCTTAGATTTAGAAATTTGATGTAATAGTCGAAGCTCGTGTCGATGATTAATTTTAGAAAAAAAGAATTTTAATTTAACTTGCTTTTAACCCCACACAACATTCTTAAAACTTATTTTGTTTGTGTTTAGCGTGTTTGTCAAAACACATGTGGAGAATTAGAAATATTTTTTTAAATGACATGCACATCTTTTGATGCATTTGTACAGTGAGCTTGCACACTTTTTTGTGAACTTGCAAAGTGCATACGCATACATTCAATGCATTGGCATGCTTTTCGGTGCATTTAGACAACACATTTGTTGCATGCATTTCAGTACATCTGCATAACATGTTCGCACACGTTTAATTTATTTTTGCACTTTTTGGTACACTCAAAAGATGCATTTGCAAGAATTTCAAAACATTTATATATCATGTTTACACTCTTTTCAATATACATTAAGGCTTAGATTGGGACAGCTTTCTAAAACAACTTTCTACTTTAAGAAATTTTTGTACTAAAACATTGTTTTAGAAAGCAGCAACAAAGTTGTCCCAAATGAAGCCTAAATCTCTCTTTTGCTTAAAGAGAGAGTGGGGGTGGTGTTTGAGGTAGTGGTTGGGTTGAATAAGTTGCTGAGAAGATTAGTGTAAGAGGAGAGGAGATGACTGGGGTCAATTTGCAAGTGGCTAGGAGTAGGCTTGGGTTTAGGAGGGAGATGGGGTCATCTATTGGGTGCAAATAGGGAGCTTGAGTGAGAGGGAGCAGCTATAAGTCACACCAACAAGGAGAATTGGAGAAGGGTTTGCGACTTGGGTGAGTGAAAGCGGAGGCAGAGTTGCGGACATGGACAATGGGCTTGGAGTGTGTGAGCAGATAGGAGGCTAGGCAACGGGGAGATTAACTGCAATGAGTGTAAGGACTGGTTGTTAGCCTGCAACATGTGGTTGTAGCTCGGAGACTCAGCAACGAATAGTGATTGGGAGAGGAGGTGCAGGCTGTGTGAGGAGCAGCCAAGCTGAGTCGGGCCTATGAGGTGCAAAACAAAAACAAAGAGGGAACTAGCAACAAGACTACGGCTATGCATGTGTAAGAGGAGAAAGTTAAAAGTGTGAGAGGGAGTTTTTAGATTAGGTTATATTATTTATTTATTTATTTATTTATTTATTTATTAATATATTTTTTATATCACTATTGTTGATTGATTTAAGGGACATGAGGACAACAAGATAAGCTAGACAGAGATATAAATAGGATTATATATGTATATATGTGTGTGTGCACGCACTTATACATATTTATCAATTTATTTAATATTATTATCATTAATTAAATTAATATTTCATCTTTTTTCCCGCACGATAACTCATACAATATGGGTGCTCTTTATAGGTAATTTCAACATTTCAAAAGCAACGACACGGTCTGTTTCACTAAATTACCTCATTTGGACAATTTCACGTAGCATCATGTATATAGTTTGTCATTTCGACAGTCTCACTTGAATTAATCGAGAGAGATCCCTCGTGCGTAATTTTGATATTTTGGATGCAATGAATTAGTTGGTTTCGCGTTCTAATGACATTAAACGATTTGTGCATAGTGTCCTGTATGTATATTGTCATGTTTGTTGTTCAATCAAGTTACACACGAGCAATTCTTCTTTAATAAATTTGATGTTCTAAATGCGTCAGCGCAATTTGTTCTGCAAATAGATATCGTTTGAGCTATTTTGACCATGATTGAGGTGTTTTAAACTCGTCACATGAGACATCATATCCATAAATTGTCTAGTTGCACTCACCCAAATTCAATTTTGGAGCATATATGGAGGTCAACAAATGTCCCTCCATATTTACGATACACACTTAGGGCGATTCATTTTTGTTGCAACTAGTTGATCCTGCGGATCTCCAAATATCGGTTTGGATGTCACGCTGAAGGTTTCACCTTGAGGATTTTCAAGAGTTTGCTTAGATGTCATACTGACTATTTTTTTCTTGCATCCTCCAGAAGTATACATGGACGTTTATGAGATAAGCCAATTGAGTTTTGGCTTAATATTAAAGTTTACTAAACTTTGGTGATTCCCTTTGAATAGGCGTGAGTCTAACTCCAAAGGTCAGGTGTTTAATTTGAATCTATTTGCCTTGACTGTGGTAGCTTGTAGAGATTGCCATCATTCGACGTTTTGTGCAAAAATGAAAATATCTTCGAAATGTAGGAATAAGGTTGCATACATGAGACCCTCAATTATGTAGAGCACTAGAGCTACACGTAGCAAAGAGAGGAGAGAGAAACTAGAGATAATTAGTAAAGAGATAAAAAGGATAGAGGATAGGAGAGAAAGCTATGCCATCATGTTCAACCATCACATTTTTTTCTTCATGCATTTGAGAATGTGTGAATCATTGTTGGTAAAACACTGATACATTTTTTTAAACTATATATTATTCACTTTCCATCTTGTTTTGTTCTATCCAGTTGTATGGGCTTATTAGGACAAGATGTAAATGTATTGTGAATTTATGTCAAATATTGTAAAATTTTATCATTTGGGAGCAAATTTGTTGAGGACGATTTCTTTTTGATAGATTTGAAATATGGGGATACCTTATGTTCTAGTTTTGCGCTTTAACTGACCTGATGAAGTAGCTTACCTAAATTGTTTTATTTGACTTATCAAAATTTGAATATACATTTTGCCCTTTTTTACATTAACATGCTTGACAAAATAATTTATCTGAATTGTCTTCTTCGAGCTGTCAGGAATAGAGCATATCTTCTGCCCTATGTTTTATGCTTTGACGGGCTTGGTGAAGGACGTGCCAATGACCTAGTCTTTGACGTCTGTGTTAGGTCAATGGCAGATAACTATCAGTCAAGAGATTTTTGCATAACAAATTTAGCGATGATAAAATTATTTGGGTTTAGCTTCGGGCTTATATAAAATCAGGGATGATTGATTATGTACATTATTTTGTGTTTTTAGGACTTATTAAAAAAAGACTCCAATGTATGTTTTATGTTCAATAAAATCGCTGATTGAAACTGTGATTCTGATTTGATAGAGATACCAAATATAGCTTGTTGCCTTTTTGAGCATCGGACCATCCTTTTAGCAGTCCCTATGACCAAGTGAGAATAACTTTTTGATTTCTCGATTCTCTAACACAAATTGCTCTAAAAAGCCGAGATGATGAGTTACAAACTATACCTATGGAGTATGATTAGTAAATTTCAAGGAGTATGATTAGTTAAGGTCCATGCGGCAAGAAGTCACAACCCTAAGGGGCTATTTGGTAGCAGGATTTAGGCCAGATTTGAGGCGGATTTGAGCGAAATACAGCCAAACAACCTAAAATGCAAAACCAACTCTCACAGAAAATGAAAGCCGCCGTAGACGAAAAATTCCGCCCTTTCGTGCTAAATCCTAGATTTTATAAATCATACTTTTTGCCGAATTTATGAAATTCGTTGGCTGGAGAGGAAGAGTCATCTCATTAAATATGTTCTATAGCCATACAGTCACACGGAATTTAATAGGGTTTATCATGAATGTTACCAAATAGTTTTCAGGATTTAGGCCCCTTAGGATTTCCAAAATCTGGATTTAGCAGATTTACGAAATCCTACTTAAATAAAATCCTGGGTGCTACCAAACAGCCCCTAAATATTCAGGAACCACTAATAGTATCAATCAATATACCTCAAAAAGTTATTAAAAATTTAATTTTTCACATTTTCCATAAGCTCCCAGATGAGGATTTGGTTCAAATGTTCAATCCGCTAGAGAGCACATATTAGTAAATGAATCTAAACTATTTATTTCGTCATTAATATTTTGAAATAGGATATTTCAAAACAATAAGATTTATTAAAGTTTTCAAATTCAGTTGGGTACTACTTAAGCTAAACCCGACCTAAATCCCGCCTAAATAGGATACCAACAGTCCCAAAGAGTAAAAGAGACAAGAAGGATAGAACTGACCTCCGAAGCAGTATCGGCCACGGGTGGATCCGCGGGTTCTGAGTTGGCCTCGTAACGCGGCGGTAGGGACCTGCGAGATTTCTCCACTAGGCGGAAACGAGCAGCAGACCGCCGGAGATGCGTCGTGGGACGGAGAGGAGAGACGCGCTCATGGAAGAGGCTAAAGGAGCCGCAAGCCATAGAAGCCATGGACGTTACAACACGACTAGATGTTTCAAGCTTGGGCGAAAGAACTAAGAAGTGAGAAAGCAGAATGACAGTGGACAACTTCGACGGAAGAAAGTGAAATTTTACTTTGCGCTTGGTTTGTGAAAAAAATGAATGGCTGTCAAAATGAAATAAATGCTAAAAAGAATATAACGTATTTAAAATATTGTGAATTATTTGAATGAGTATAATATATATAATTTGAATTCAAATATATATAATGTAAAGAATAATGATATTTTTTATTGGTGGTAGTGATGATGGTGATGATGATAGTAATGATAAATGATGGCGAGCGATGGTGGTGATGATGATAACAATGATAAATGGTGGCGAGCGATGGTGGTGATGGCCGACGACCGACGCCCATTAAGAGCGACAACAATCAGTATATAGCGATTACAAAGTCATCTTGTAATGTATTTTAAAATTTGGTCTAAAATGATGGAGTTTTGAATACATCAAAAAATAAATTGCTAATTGAAAAATAAATTTATCAAACATTTACTATACACTCTCTTCATCAAAATAAACACTAATACTTTTTAATCTTTTGCATTTGGAATATTTTAAATTACTTTTTTCATGAAATCAAATAGCCCATTTATATGCAAGAAATAAGTTGTTTTTTTCTTTAACATTATTGCGTCCTAAAAAATTCATAGTGGTAGAGAGATAAAATTTAGCGTCATAATTTTTTACAAAGATCCAACACACAAACAGATAACAAATATGGGTGCAACGTTCATAAAAGTTACCAAGTTTTTTATGTGGAAGCCCCTGAAAAATGGGGAAAGCCCATCAGGTCTTACCTAGTAAAAAATGAATACATTAGTGTTTGTGGTTGTTTATGAATAATGTCTCTCCTCAGAGAAGGGTGTAGGATCAAATAAATAAATATTATATATATCACATTATATAGTGAGATAATGGCATGATAGTTATTCTCAATAGAATGTTGTTATGCTCATTTGGTTGGTAAGATCGTAGTCAGATAATGATAGCTAGAATTGAACGTAGACGGACGATGGTTGGAAGGACTGTAATTAGGAGAAGGTGGTCCAACAAATCTCATTATTATAATAATCATGATAAAGATACAAGATTTTGCACGAGAATTCACTGGGGGCTCACAAATGGGACAACCAAAATCGAGCTTGTAGACAAAAATATTTTCATGATGGGAGGGCTCAACAACAGGATTGACAGTGTGCGAGGGAAATATATTTCATGATAGGAGCTCACTAAAGAAAGCAATGATAGGACTGGTGACATGTAAGTAGAAGATACTCGGTGTGGACAGTATCTCAAGAGTCAATGGCATGAAATGGGCTTACTATAAAGGAACCCTTGGACACTACGGTGAAGGGAAGTTTGAATCAGATTTGTATCTTATTCAAATCTTATTTGAATGCAGTCTAATAAGATGTTTATAAAATTAAAACAAGCTTTGATTCCACCCAAATCAAACTTTGTTCAAATCTAATCAAAACAAAGTTTAAATTCAAATTAGTTCAGACCATATTTGCATTCATCATACTTCAATAAACATTCTATACATACAAAAAGTGATATATTAGTCATAAACAAATTTTATGGCATATTTCTCAAAGAAATAAATTATCAGGCATAATTCTTCAATTTTGGGCATCATGGCATATTAAGTCAAATTTGTAATTTATGGATTTTTTTTTACATACTTTGAATTTCAAATTCATCTATGAATTGCATTACATTTGAAATGTAACCTACCAAAGATCGGAATTTCTAAAATACATGCATTTGGTTTAATTTATACCGATGATGCAATAAATCAAATAGTTATTTAGTATACAAATTGTTTATGTAACTATCTTTTACATTTTAATAAAATATTTAATATTTATATGTTCATAAACATAGGTGGATCAATTCAAACCGCATCAATTTGCCTATTGTGCATTATCTCATCATTATTTGATTTTTATGTGAATTTGTATTATTATCTTAACAACTAACATCATAGCTTTAATTTGGAACTCTCTAAGTGTGATGATGAAAATATCAAAATCATCATGTTTGATGGTCCAAATTAGGACATGGAAGATGTAAATAGAATACAAATTAATCTTAGAAAGATCCATCAACTATTAAAGGGAGTAAATATACAACCAGTCAATCAAGAAGAGTATGAGTTGACAAACAAATGAGCTCTATGAAGCATTCATCTATGTCCTAATATGAACATTATTTTGAAGATCCTCAATGAGACCACTACAATAAACATCATGAAGGGGTTTTTGAAAAGTATGTAAAGACCTTTGCAATAAATAAGTTACACATAATGCACAATTTTTTATTTCAATTTGATTATGTTAAAAGGAGCTTCATCCACTCAATTTTAACAAAATAATGAGATGATGAAACTCAATGTGTAATAGCTAGCTCATAGTTTAACCCTGTCAAATACTTTTTTTTTTCAAAAGTCATTATAAGTTCAAATCACAAACCGTCTTCGTCATAACACAAATATTGTAGCTTTTTTATTACACTTATTTTTTTCATAGTTTTTTGGCATCGGTGTAAATCCTTAAGAAATTGACATATATCGATACAAGTGGGGGCTTTGGGATCGTCAAGTGTCCGTTTGCAAACCGATCTCACCAACATTTTTTAAATAAATTGGGCTATTTAATATATTTTTTATTATTTTGAAAAGCTATAATTTTTATCAATTCTTAAATTCATCTTGACATAAAAAATAGTGACATAGTTCAATTAAAGCTTCCGAAGTTTGTTATATATATGATCTCTGGTAATTTGTTTAATTACTAAAAATATGAAATTCTGCTCAGTAGAGTTTTCTCTTGCATCATATTATGATTTTTTGACACTTAATTATGAGTTAAACTCAATTATATTTTATTTGTTGCAATGCATTTTAAATGAATATGTATATGTAATTGAGTAATAGTTGCTCGCTATTGATGTTATAATATTATGATAATGATATGTGTGCATGGGAAATACAAATAAAGACTGGTTGACCCATTGGTTAAAGAATGATTGAAATGTACATTCTAATAGATTTATGAGATACTATGGTTATGCACTATTTTCTACTAATACAATAATGGAGAGTTATAAAAAGGTATTACTGTACCGACATACAAAAATTGATGGCTCTGTTTACTGAGTCATGGTTTAATGATACTGATACGATATTAAAAGAAATATTTATTAAACTAGGACTTCTTATATGTTTAGTTTGATTACTAAAATGCATATTATTGATTCATTGTTACTGACTTATTACTAATATGATTATTGATGTTACTGCATGTATATTGTTACTACATCACCATTGTTATTGATTCACTACATTGTTTACTAATTGACTCATACATAACTTATGATTATGATACTACATTGATATGATCTATAAAGATATATAAAAATTTGAGTTGAGAGCCATTCTGATAAAATGAATATCTACTTGTAATTCATTTTATTTTAGTTTCATATTCTACTTTAATTTCAATCTCAAAAATTCGTACAATATTTTTACAACACAGTTTTTTTAGTTATTTTTTTGCTTTAATTATTGATTTTTGTTTTAGTCTGTGATAGCCTATTGAGCCATGTTAGCTCATTCATACTTTTATTTATGTTTTCAGGCCAATGGAAGGGTACGGAGCGAGCTGAATAGTTTTGGATAGCATACTCTGATATGTGTTGTAGGTATGTTTTTGTTAATTTTGTTTTTTTCAGTCTTAATTTTATTTTATTATTCTCTCTGTTGTCAAGTACTGTTGTAAATATATTTCAGATTGTATATAATTTCAATGATGTATAGAAAAATATTTTGAGAATAAATCAAAATTAAATATATAATAGCTAGAAGTTAAATCTATAACATCCATTTATTATAACCCTTTTGGTTACAAAAGAATTAAACATAATTCAAAAATAATAAACTAAGCCAGCAAGTCTGACTCTAATCAATCTCACTCTACTGACCACTTCCCGAACCTACAAATAAATCAAATCATAATAATGAGATCACAAAACTTAATAGGCTACTATAACCTACCAACACTTCAATGTAATGCAAATAAATCAATATCCATGCTCAACTCAATTATTATAAAAATCAATAATCATTAGTATAGATATTAAACAATATATATAATCAATATAAGGATTAATATGATCAGTAGATCAAAAGCATCTCACTATGCATATGAATATGTTGACCTATAAAAAAATTGATATAGGTTTTTAAATGAAGATAAGGTGTTGTACAATAAAATAATCATAACAAATATATCAGTTAAATTTATGCTAATAATTCTAACATATATTTCCATCACATTGTATGCCATGTGTATTTGTCTATCAATATGCTACATCAAAATATCTATTAATGTTTATAAGTATAATTGTTAAAATGTCATAAGCTATGTCATTCTGTATCAGACTCAATGATAATTCTACTATTTCTATATCAATTATATCTATTAATCAATTTATATGCAATCATGAATGTGATTATGAATAGCAATGCATGACATACAACTTTAATGTAGTGTTTTCATACTTCAATCTATCATTACAATCAATAAATTAATAAAGAGTCGTTACTGTTTACCTATTGACGTAATCAATCAATCAATTACAATCTAATATTCGTCGGCCTATCCTGCTGGACAAGGTATTATTGTTTTATAATGTTAACAACCAACATTCCTTACTTTTATGTAAATGCCATATTTATCTTGTATCAATCACATTATGTTCTCTCTACAATTCAAATCATGTATGAAATACAATAAATAATATTATAATAAAATTTAAATTTATTAATTTATTTTAATATTAACATAATATAATTTTTTATCTGTAATATTAAGCTTAAAATAAATTCAATAATTTTTAAATTTATTATATTTAATTTATGTTAATACTTAATATAATCTAACATTTTTTTTTCACTTCGAAAAAGCTGCATTTTAATTAATTAATTAATATTAATTGTTATGGCCCTTATGGGTGGCTGCGACCAGAGCGGCTTCTCCTGCAGGAAATCCATCCTATAAATACCTACAACACTATCCTCGCCGGTGATACCCTTCAAACCCATTCGCTCTCCGCCTTACAGTTCTACATCTTCTAATTGTGAGAGCAATGGATATGGCTACTGGCCTCCATAGGTTCAACATGGCTTTGGCGCCGCTTCGCACCAACCAAAGAGGATCATCATCATCATCATCATCTCTGTTTCCCTCTAAAGATATATTCGGTAGTGGCTTTCGTCCATCTCGAGCTTTGAAAGCCCGCCGGAGCTTGAGATTTGACGCGGGGTCTGTGAGTCGAATAGCTGTTAGTTGCTCTACCTCTCCCACTACAGAACCTGTTACTGGTGATTTTCTTCTGAGTTTCCTTTTAGCTTTTCCGAGATTTACGAGTACTGTTGTTGATTTCTTCTGTTTCATGTTTTAAATGAAATAAAAGCGTTGTAGCAGATGTAAGTTCTTTTATGAGGTCCAATGATTTTTTTTCTTTAGCCATGCCTTGAAAAGTTGCCTTGGGGCTGGAGTTCGTTGAATAAGTTGCATAGAATAGAATGATGGTGGGCCAAAAAAAGATTTTGTTATGAAGGCTAATATTTGTTAAATTCAAGATAGGAATATTTGAAATTCAGACTTCTTGTTCAGCTTGTTGTATGGCTTTTTAGGAAAGTTTCACCTTGGTGATTGTTGTAACAAGGCCTGAAAGACACAATATGGAAGCGTCTCCAAGATTGATAATGATAAATCACAAATCATCACAAAGGAGAGAGGAAACAACTACAAAGAGGACATGAAAATCTATACTGTTCAATTTCAATCAAGCTTATGTTCACGGGAGAGAGGAGAGATGATCTAATTCACTACGAACAAATAAAAGCTATAATTGTCAACCTTCCCAAAATAGAAGCACGTCCACATGATAGATAAAAATAACTACGAAATTAATCTCATGCGCGAGACTATGTCACATAAAATCTTTTTCCTAGCATATAGCAGTAAGGACAATGAAACTCTAGCCGTCGAGAGGGTATGTGCATGCCTTTAGGAATGAGGTAGATCTCCAAATTCACATGAGTAACTAAGTCGAAATGGTATGGAGTAAGCCTCTAAACCATGACTTGAGAAATCCTAGAGGAATTTTCTCCATACATAGCCTCCAAACATCCCCAACTATGTAAGAATCAAGGCCTGTACTATAACCTGCAATATTTCATATTTTTGAGCCTATACATAGACAAGAGAAGATAAAATAAAGAAAACATAATAAAGGAAAATGTCCTTCATGATAAAGAAATATTACAATAATAAATATTGTAGATTCTTATTATAAATAATTAGCACATATGATAATTTATATATTATAATAATATAATAAACAATATCAACAAGCAATGAAGAAATGGAGAGGTCTGAAGTTTCTTATTAATTTATAGTCTAAATTGAAAGTGTTGTGTATTATTTGGGTTGGTTGTTAAATGTTTCAGTTATCCATTTTCAGTTGCAAAATACAGAATTGAGTTACATAATATGTATGCGTCGGTTACCATTTTAGGTAATAGTTTGAGTTAGAATTGTTTGCTGGTTTTCGCAATGCATGAAATTTCCTTTATAAGTAATAGCATGAGTTGAGTTGTTTACTGGTTTTCTTAATACATGAAATTGCTTTTCTACATTTGTGAACCAACATAAACGCAGAAAGTTGTAGCACAAAACTGGATCTTCTACCAAAGAAACCATTAACTAAAAAAAAAAAAACTAGAAATGAACAATCTTCTCGTTTTCTTTATGATAACTTTAATCTATTAGTGCAGTAGGAAAGAAGTTAACAACGCGAAGGGATGTGAGGAATATAGCTATTGTTGCTCATGTAGATCATGGAAAGACAACTTTAGTTGATGCAATGCTGAAGCAAGCGAAGGTACGCTAAAAATCTGTTGAGTAGTTATATAGTGTTGAATCATGAAGCTTTCAAGAACTTAAACCCTAGTGTCACAGAATCTTATGCAATACAAGTCAATTTGCATGCTCATGTCTCTTTCTGTTGACCTAGGGTTTGATCAACATGACTGGGTCAGCACAAACATCATGTATGAACAAACAAACTTTTAATTACCTTATATTGGCATATTTACATATGCAATAATTACAAATTTTATTTGTATTACGATAATACTTTATTGTAAATATTATTACTCAGATTTTTTTGACATTTAGTAGTGGCTGAAAACGAAGGAGTGGCTTATACATTTATGGTTTCCAAACTGAAGTTATTTTGCGAATATTCCGAATTTGCTTTTCTTTCATGCCATAAGGATGATGCAGACAGAAAATTTATGCTGTGATGCCTCCAGTTAGGTTATGCTGCTCTATTTCTGTGCTACAGCATATTACTTCTTTTAATGTCGATGAAGACTTTTTTGGTGGATTTTTGCTTTTGCTACTTGAGATTATTCTCTAGGTTCTTTGTTTTGGTCTTTTATCTTTTGCTTGTTCTGGTGCTTGTGAGCTTTTGTAATTTTGTTAGACTTTAACTAGTTTTTGGTGTTTAATTTAACTTGATTTTATGCATGGAAAAAGTATTGTCCTTGATCCCGATGATCATTCAATTGGTAGCATCTTTTCATTCTTAGAAACTTGACTAATATTGTATCTATTTGTCATTTTCATTGCATAAGATACAAAGAGGATTTATCTAGTAGCAATTTCCAATACCCACCTCAACCGTCAAGTAATCACAATATATCTCAATTAATGTTTTTCTCAGGTCTTCCGTGACAACCAGTTTGTGCAGGAGAGAATAATGGATTCGAATGATCTTGAGAGGGAAAGAGGAATCACAATTCTCAGCAAAAACACCTCAATAACTTACAAGGGCACTAAGATAAATATCATCGATACTCCAGGCCATTCTGATTTTGGTGGAGAAGTTGAGCGTGTTCTCAATATGGTTGAAGGAGTTCTTCTTGTGGTACTGACTAAATGAAAATTCTTACTTATGTAAAACGAATGGCCCTTTATGCTTGCTGAAGTTGGTTTCTTGATATAATCCGCTTTATTGAATTTTTCTGTACAACTATGTTATTTTTACTTGCTCCTTGATTTTTCCTGTCATTGTCTAGTTAAAACACCTGCTACATGAGTTGGGGTTTGTTTTCTTTTTATTTTATCCGATAACAGGAATGAATATGAAAGATTCACGAAACCACCCCAAAATAGTTTTGATAAGGCTGATAATGGTGTTGATGATTATTTAGTGCAGATTGAATGGTTGGATTATGGCATAGTGGTGTTCGAAGTGATTCTTGGGCTGTAACTTGTTTTTTCTAACAATTGAATCAGCAGAGCTTGTTTGTTTGCTGATCTTTATTGCAAAATATTAGCTACTGGAAGTTGCAATACCTATATATATATATAGCAGCTATGTTATTTTCTGTCCGTATGGATAGTTAAAATGATCTCTTGTGATTTAATGCCAGTGCTCTTTGGTTAGTTGAAGTTCTTTTGGTGCTCTATTCCAATTAATTCTCTTCAACTGATTTTTTGAACTAATGTTCTTGTAAGCTAATTTATGAAATGTATACTGTATAGGTAGACTCTGTAGAGGGGCCAATGCCGCAAACACGGTTTGTTTTGAAGAAAGCTTTGGAATATGGACATTCAGTTGTGGTTGTGGTAAATAAAATTGATAGGCCTTCAGCACGTCCGGACTTTGTTATCAACTCAACATTTGAGCTCTTTATTGAATTAAATGCAACGGATGAACAGGTCATCTTGTGAATGATTTTATTACCTCTCCATTCATATTTTCTTGCCTGAAAATGATATCAACAAACGTAATTTGACCTTTTATTGTCTGAATTCTAAAAGTATACAATGATTTATACAGTGTGACTTTCAAGTGATTTATGCAAGTGGCATAAAAGGTAAGGCTGGACTCTCTCCGGACAATTTAGCAGATGATCTTGGGCCACTTTTTGAGGCTATTCTTAGATGCATACCAGAGCCTACCATTAATAAGGATGGAGCACTTCAGATGCTTGTTAGTAATGATTTTTTGTTTCCCTTCCATGTATTTACTATCTATAAATTTCACACTCTTTTAAACTATTATGGTATAGCCAGGGCAACTATTTATTTTATTTTTTGGTAAGTCACATTGTAAAAAGCCTCTAAACTTTCTATTTGTACTTTTCCATTATGATTAGGAACATTGCGAGGAAGAGATCATCTGTTTATTTGGTGTTTACCAAAAAACTGATTCAGCTGTTAGGCGTTTGACTTTTTGGGGAGGAGGGCTTTAGATTTGAAACTTTTTGATTCAATCTTCTTTTAAACTATGCCCGCTTATATATATATATATATATATATCTAACGGCAAACAGCTTATGCCGCCACGTTGTGAAAGCCTTGCATGACCTAATAATCAGATGAATCTTTGTTCTCATTTAACATAGTTCGGGTTAGTTGTTTTTATTTTTAAACAAAAAGAAAAAATTGTCTTATTGCAATTTAAAGAATTATTCTCTTTTTGCAAACTCAGTGATTTATAAGAATGTCTCTATATTATTATTCCTAAGTTTTGGCATCTCAAACTAGCTGAGAGAATTGAGGTGTTCTCCTATACTGTTTCTAATCCATCGGTTTTCCTTATGCAGAAGTCGAACCTAATGTTTACATATAATCAGGTAACAATTATCGAGTATGATGAGCACAAAGGAGAAATACAATTGGTCTGGCATGCTGGTTGTTGGAACGAGGCATAGAATCAAGGTTAATTTACCCCAGATTAGTTTATTCTTTCAAAACGTTTTCATTAAATGTTCAGCATTTCTCTTCGATGAACATTTTTTAGCACCTCGTGCTTTATTCGCCAGTTATGGCTGACAGTTTGAGTAGCAAGCCAGTTTTGTCTCACATTTCACGACCGTCACCGTCATATTACATGTGAGCCGCACTTAGACCACTTTTTGTACTGTGATCCTAACTGCTTTCCATTACATCACCACCAGTGCCACTACAGTATAATCCACCTGCCCTCCGCCACTATCACTTCAACATTCCCACCATAATAAGAACAATTTTAAATCGCCCCGTTTACGACAAACTTCACCTTATTCCAATCAATTACACCAACGAATATGGTGGGTTAGAGGGGCTGTTCCTAAGTAATTTTTCAATTTCATTCTTCTTAGAAAAGGCAGTTATATTGCACTCCATTTGATTTTATTTTCTCAAGATGTAATGTCTCTACAATATTAGGTTATTTTTTTATTGTTAGATTAGTGATGGGACTGTTAAGATAGGGCTCAAATGAACCGAGCATCGACGGCTACTCGGCTTCGGTCATAAGGTTAGCGTTTATGTTGTTGTGCGGTAAATGACAAGCTTGATACACAGTTTGAACAATACTCGATAAAATAAACAATCTTGAAAACCAGTCGTTCGACTCTTTCAGTTACGACAAGTTGTTTAAGGCTCGTGATATGTCCTTAAACTCGATAAAATGCCGTTATACTTATTTACATTAAAAATATATATTATATATTATTAAACTATTAAGTCTAACATTATGTAATTTATTTAAATTAAATTTTAACTAACATTATATATATTTTATAATTTATGCATAATAATTTACTCCGCCCTCCCCTCTCTTAATATATATAAAATATTTTAGCTAATTTATATATAAGTACTCCATTTACATTTAACTATATAATTAATATATAATATATTATGCCCGCCACCTCTCTCTCTCTCTCTCTCTTCTCTCTTCTCTTCATCACTTTTGCATTTTTATTTCCCCTGTCGATTGCCTCTCTTTCTCTCTTCTCCATGGCCACGAAAAAAAAAACACAGTTGTTTAGTCCCACACTGTGGAATTAGAGAAGGTTTTGCATTATATAATGAGCTATGTTGGCAAAAGGGTAAGACGCGAGGTGGGTTGGGCTCGGAAGGCGGGGCCGGCTGCGGGTTGTGGGTTGGTTCGGCTTGTTACAACGGGTCGTTTGTTCAAAAGTTCGACAAGCTTACAATTAAACGAGTTCGAACTTGTTCACGAATCAAATACGAACAATATATTTTTAAACGAGCTCGAACTCAAACAACCATTGAAGAAGCTCGACTAGCTTTGAACCGAGCTTGAACACGTTTTGGACAAACGAGCTCGAACTTGAACATGCCAAATCTCGGCTCGATTCATTTACAGCTCTAGTGCTAGAGATCCATTAGATCTTGAGCTGCATGGTACCATGCAATAGGGGTTTCAAATTGGATATTCGGTTCGGGTTCGGGCCAAACCTGGAATTCACTTGGGTCCTATTCAACTAACTCGAACTCGACTCGAAAATTCTGGCATGGACCTGACTCATTGGGTTACCGGGATTACACGACCTAACCCGCTAACTTGAATATCACAACGAGATCGGCTGCTGACATGAGTGCGAAGGGGATGTGAGTCACGAGTACAAAGGGGGCAGTGCGACCATGCGGGTGCTGCGGCAAGCGAGTTCGAATGCGGGCTAGGGTACAGGTGCGGGAGAAGGTGTGGGTTCGACCATACGGGTGCGGACGCGAGTGCAGGAGGCACCGGGCGAGCGGGTGGTCGCTGGTCGGCTGTGGGAAGTCGCGAGGGTGGGATCCTGGTCAAATCGGGTCATCTTTGGGTTTCCAAGTCAACCCAAACTCGACTCGATTTTAAAACCGGGTCATAATCTCTAACCCAAACCTGACCGTTATGTGTGGAATCTGATTGTGTTGATTAATCTAATTGTTATGTTGTCTCGGACCTAAAAGTTGTCGTGTTTGCTAGGGGGTGCAGGGCTTTACCCCCAACTTGGGTTTGGGTGTTTTGCACCCGAAAATTATTTTCAACATACAACGCTTCGGCATTGAACTACAAAGAGCAGAGCACCACAACCGCATATATACGACACTGTAGAGGATCAAAATAGAGGTTCAAGCATTGCATCGCTGTGAGACGGATTGGACGATTTTCTTTCTCGTTTTCTGAAGGGTTACATCCCTTGGGGTTATATCACTTGGCTTTATCTTATATATTGAGTATGTAGACATTGAAAATGTTGCATGTGAGAAGAGATGCAAGGAGAGTGAGAGAGAAGAGCTATTTTTACTTATTTCTCTCAATTTTCATAGTGAATTTCTTGTTGTGGTGTGGCTCTGTGGTTTTTTTCCCTATTTTGGATTTTTCTACATTAAATCCCGGTGTTTTTTACTTTTTCGCTGCTTTATTTTGTTGCTTGTTTTGTCATTGTGGTGTTTACTCCTCATCTTCGCCAACACTGACACATATGACAACGTGTTTACCCGAACCCCAAATTTTTTTGGTCAGTTTTGAGTCAGGTTTGGGTCATATCTTGGGTCGGGTCAAATATTGACACCCATACCATGCAAGCTCTGCTAACTAGTGCTTGAATAAGCTTGTGATCGCATCAGTTAAGCTCGATTATATTGTTTTTGTAAATTGAGTAGAAAAGAGAGGGAGGAGGAATATGGCATTACAGATGGTGAGAGGCAAGTACACATGTAAAGATGGAGGGAAGGCGTTAATATGTCAATATGCATAGGATATATGAAACATGATGGCTTTTGTGATCAAGCTGTAGGTAATCTATGTTGTTGGATTAAACCTGAAGGTATGAGCGAATGCGTTGTGTAACGGTCCAGAATCTAAATCAGAAGAATTACATCTTTTTATCTTCTAATTAATCTACTAGAGCCGCTAATTTCATTTCATATCAATTTAAAATAGCGAAAGTGTTGAAAAAGTATTGTTATCCTCAACGGATTGAGATATTTTGTGATCGAGTATGACATAGAAAATAATATATTATTCCGAAAGACAATAATTTTATTTCGTTGTGGACTCAATAATAAAATTCACAATTTAAATTTTAATAGAGATTTTTTTCTTATTTAATATTTAATTGAATATGGTTTATTTTATTTTATGGTACAGATGCCCCATAATGACAATCTCCTCAGGTTAATTACATCTCAAGCAATTTTTTTAGAACACTTTTGATTAAATTATTGATTTCTTTTTTTAGAGTCATCAAAATATTGACCAATCTTTTCATTTTAACATTTGTGAAATTCTTGTTCAATGATTTATTCTTTGGGAATTTCAAAGGAGGAAATATCAACTTAAAATCAGATTTTTAAGAATGGGAGCCAAATGAATGAATATTGAAATGTAGGAGTATTTGATTCTGAGGCAACTCAGAGGTACTCAAACCATCCTATGTTGGTTTTACATTTTAACATCAGATTTTATTTAAGTTGACAATTTTAATTTAGAATATTGAGGCTTATATTCTTAACAACACATGTTAGAGAAAATGTCCGAAAGGTGAGGGCTTATGAAATGACTAGAAGTCAACAATGGCTTCAGATTCTAGAACTAAGGTGATGACTACTGATAAGTAGTGTCTCGAACTTAAGTGCAAATGACTGACAAATTATACCTCACCTGAGACATAGTTAGACCTACATCTGGATTTACAATCATGCCTATGAAGGATTACCGGCTAAACCCTCTTAACCGCTTTTAAATCTATTTAGTCCCGTCTCAATACATATGAAGAGTATGAAAGTTTATTTTATTTATAAGATATGATTTACAACTTGACTTTTAGGTTAAGATGCCTGACAATGTGGGTATGTATAATGCTGCTCACAAAAAATGCAGATTTTCGTTATCTGGTTCTTAAGTGAAGACTTTATATATCAGTCACACTTGGTCATGCATGATAATTTAAATTTTTTGAAAACTTGGCTCCTTAGAAGGAGCCATATAAAATTTTCTTTTATTTGAAAAATTGTGATTTCTATGGTTGATTTTATATTGATTTCATGTTAAGTGGTAGAAAAATTAGTTTTATCCTAAAAGCCTACTGTATAACACAAGTCCAGGTCACCCCAAACAAAACAAGAGAAAAAACTTAGAAAAACGCATGCATTTCTGATTCGCACTCAGTAAACAATCAAAACATGCTTGTATATATGTATAATCAACTAGAGAATGAGAATGTAAAGAATGTTCAAATTATTACAGCCATTGTTAGCAGCTAAGTTGTCTGTCATTATACAACTTAATAATAATTATTACAGACTCAGTCTGTGGGGTCTTCAAGCTTTGGCTTATAGATGGGCCTTAGGCTTCATATATAGTAGGCTCATCCTGCTAATCCACCTCTCTTGTAATTATATTCCATAGGTTTATACATCCTAAGTCTAACAAATACATTTTAAATTATAAAAAATGCTCAAGCCTGCAAAATAGAAAGAAGATCAAAAGCATGTTATATATATAAAACAATTATCACATAATTGTGCAGCACTTAAAATGCCAAGCCTTGCTTCTACTCTATTAACCATGCCTTCTTGGGAGATTTTAAGCAGTGCATGCAACAAATATTGTTAATATAATCGTGATTTATTGCACCCCCTCTTGGACATGTCCACCTATAAAAAAGAGCATGCATATCTCTATCCTAATCACTTAAGGGAAAATGCCTACAACGCAGCCAATTCAATAGACAATCACACAAGGACATCAACCACATGCGTAGAAAAAAGAAAAATTATAATCTTAGCATGCCTAGGGGTTGTGCACCTAAGTGTGTGCCAGCTGCGTGATATGTCACTACAAAAAATGTTTGTTTTATTGAGGAATGAAGATGTTTAATCTTAATC